CCTAGTTGACTTCAGTGAGGTTCTGCTAACAGGTGGCTAAGTGATGGGAGTGCCATGTGACATTTATCCCAGGAGCGACTTGGATGACAGGCTGCTACAGACTGAGGAAAGGGTCTTTGCTTTGATGAAGAAATTGCCAAAACTCATGTCTCATTAGTGTTTCCTAAGGTTCTTTGGAAGTGAACAACAGTTTAATTAAGGGCTGACGTAAACACGTTTCTGCACACTTTCCCTGCAGCATTTTATCACATTAGAATTGATCAGAATTGTTGCCTTGGGCTGCCTTGAACAGACAGACATCTGGAGTGCCGTTTGTGCAAGCTGCTGCCGGGGAGGGCGTGCACGTGCTCCAGGCCGCCCTCTTTTGTGGGTGAAATTACCTTGTTGGGGATGAGTTGATGTGAGTCTCTCTCTGCTTCAGCCTTCAGCCCCCTGAAGTGATGCTGTGTAATGAGGGACGTATGAGGGTGTGAGGGGCAGGCCCGAAGCTTACGGTGGGGCTGGTAGATGCACTATGGCTTAATTTTGGAAAATACTTATTTAAACATCTCCTAAAGTCTGAATAAACTAAATTTTACCAGTTGTTTACTCAAACTTTCTCTTGTGGGGTAATCTGTTATTATGTATCTCACTTCACAGTTGGTTTTTTAAAGCCATGGCTGATCTTTCAAGTTTAGATCTAAACGTGGGGTAGACCCTGAAGAAATGCACCACCGGCTTCCTTTTAAAAACTAGCCCCTCTCATTTTCTGTCATTAAAAACAGCTCTTTCTATGATCTAGCCCCGTGTTGGATGCAGTGGCAGTTATGTAATGCGTCTTTATCTTCCCTGCACCCATTCTGCGGAGCTGTGAGCTTCACCCGGATGGGTACCAAGCGGTGTTGCTTAGCATCTTAAAGCTTAGGCAGCGCAGTACTTCTTTACGCTTACTGGGCTTTCACATGGTGACTGATTGGAGTTTTCTTTGCGTTTTCCATTGAGTTCTGACCTGGTGATTCCTGTTTAGGAAGAGTTGTCGTGAGGGAGAGGCTCTGGCTGTGCCGCACGTCCCGCACGGCCGCTCTCGCTTTCCCATCAGCCTCTTCCACGAGCTGGGACCCTAAAACAAGGCACTTAGACACACCATTGTTTATCTTTTGTAAAGCAAATCCTTTTCCTTTTGGCAGGTGGGTCTTCCTATCCTATTTTTACTGTCCTAAATAATTTTCATTGTTTAAGAAGAGGTAATTTGTGAGCCCCTTTCCACCTTGAACAGTAAATAAAAAGTTACTCCATTTCTGCTGAGGTGGCCTCTGTCACACAACATGATCTGAAGCAGATGACACTGTTATCATTAGATACATGCCTGGAAGCAAGCGAGAAGAGACATGGATCTAGAATAATTACTTATTCAGTGAAGCCAACTAGTGTAAGCCACTGTGGCTTAGAGAATTTAAAAATTATATAGTTGCTTCTATTCTTGACCATCTGTAAAACATCTTAGATGTATGTGGCCTTTACAAAAAGTGATTCATGTAAATTTGTGCTGGGTGAAATGAACGTTCCTACACAGTGTTGTGCTGCCTTGATTTTCTTTAGAAATGATATAACCAGGATGACACTGTCCTGCTTCCCAAGCCCTGAGTGCATTTCATTTTTAAAATTGTGTATATTATGCTTTGTTGTTTATACTAAAGAGTTTTAGAAGCTGACTTACACAGATTCATTGTATAATAATACAGATACACAGATAGCTGAGCTGTCTGGCTGGCCCTAACACTGTGTATTTGTATTGTTGTTTTTTAGTGTCACATACTCATAAGTAAAATTATTATATTTTGACATTTGAGATAACATTTAGCTTAAATAAGCTTTTTATTTATTTTTCTGTATTTTAGGGAAGGGTCTACAGGGTGTTCAGGGTATTACTACTAGATCGGATTCCTAGTGATCTGCCTGTTTACAGCTTCCCAAGAGCTGGGATTACAGTCGCGTGCCACCACACCCAGTCTCAGTTGCTGTCTCAGTGTGTCCCGGGGGTGGGCCGGCATCGCAGGCCTGGGGATTGGGCCCCTGGCCCCTGCGCCAATCTGCTGAGCTATTTGGCCAGCCTTGAAATGAGCTTTTAAAAATATTTTATTTTATTTTGAAGGGTAAAAATAAAAGCAGATAGCAGAAACAAAGAATCATGGTAACATACAGCAATATATATGTTACAGATTTTCAAACATTCTTTTAAAGACTCTGTAACATTCCCTGAATTTTAATTTTTTAAATTTGAATTTATTTGTTTGGTACAGTGTGTCTCTATACAGTTTACACTGCATGCAGTGCTGGGGATCGAACCTGGTCCTTATGCTTGCTAAGCAGGCGCTTAGACCACTGTGCTATCTCCAAGGCTCCGAAATGAGCTTCTTTTGTCTATTTTTAAATGTTGGTTTGAAAATTTTTTTCTTTAGCAGTAGCTGAATTATAGCTTTTACAAGGAATTTCTTTATATTTTTCACTTTGAGAAAGTAGAAGGAAAGGGATCTTGGCCTCTGAAAGCCCCCGGGGGGTCAGTGGCGGTGGTGGCCGGTGGCCACAGGTGCGTCTGTGCTCCGCTGCATCCTGTGAGGTCGGCTGTCTCGCTGGCACGTGTGTGCTCTAAGTGCCAGCTGGCCAGCACATGTGCTTGGCTTTACCCGAGGCCTCTAGCGAAACTCAGTAAATTTTCAAAAGGTAAATACATGATAGCTAATTTCTCATATTAATAGCACTAAGAGGTATTTTTCTCACTTCAAATAACATTTCTAATTAAAACGCAAATTGCACGTATTTAAATATATGGTTAAGGCTTGGTATTTTATTTAACATAATAAAGATTTCTTTAAAAGATTCAGATTGGAATACTGAGAGGCGAAGTCTGCTACCTGGGGTTGCCTGCGGAGTAACATGGAGATGGGGAGGTGGACGGGCATGAGCCGGATGAGACGGGCTCTGGGTGGTGGGGCGCCATCGCTGCTCTGACCACTGCAGACATACTTAAAGCTTGGAGAAGAAAATGAAATTTTACAGCTCTTCTCATTGCTAGAGAACTTGTACTGTAAACTTACAAGCTGCCATCAAAATGAGCATTACTCAGGCTGCTGAACAGGCCTCTACTCTTGCCGGCCAGAATTTCGTGCTGAAAGCCCTGTTCGGACTCACTGCATGGTGGGGTTTCTTAGTTACCTAACCTGGCTACCTTCCATGTGAATAATTCATTGTATTTTTTTTTTTATTTGAGGGAAGGGTCTACGGAGTGTTCAGGGTCTCACTACTAGATCAGACTCGTAGTGATCCACCTCTTTACAGCCTCCCAAGAGCTGGGATTACAGGTGCGCGCCACTGTCCCCAGTCTCAGTTGCCGTTTCAGCGTGCCCCGGATGCCGGGCCAACACGGGAGGCCTGGAGTGGAACCCCCGTCCCCTACACCTGCTTGCAGGTGCTTTAATCTGCTGAGCTATTTGGCCGGCCCTGTATTTTGTTTAATTATCCTTTGCATTTGCTGTGTCTTGATGCTTACCTCAATATCTCGATCTATCTTTTGGGAATATTGTTTAGAGGAAGGATGGAGGGATGGATGGATGGGTGGATGGATGGGTGAATCCCTCAGGTGCTTTTCCTTCTATGCCACATTTTTCACTCTTCTATAACTGCTGCTTCCTAGTGCCTCACCAACTTCTATGCTTTATAGAAAGTGAACCCATTTCACTATTTTCTCCCTGAAAACTACTGCAGTATCTGGTGTGAAGCAGACCCTTGATATATATTAATAGAATGAATATATTAATAATATAGCTTCTTAAGTGACTCTCTCTACTTTCTGAATCCATTGGAGATAGCCCATCCTCAATGTAGGGTTTTTTGGGTTTTTTTGGTGTGTGTGTGTGTGTGTGTGTGTGTGTGTGTGTGTGTTTTAGGGAAGAGTCCACAGGGTGCTCAGGGTTTTACTACTAGGTCAGACTCATAGTGATGTGACTGTTTACAGCCTCCCAAGTGCTGGGATTACAGGTGTGCACCACCATGCCCAGTCTCAACTGCCATCTCAGTGTGCCCCGGGGGCAGGGCCAGGATGGCCTGCCTGGGGAGCGAACCCGGGGCCCCTGAGCCTGCTTGCAGGTGCTTTCATCTGCTGAGCTATTTGGCTGGCCCCCTCAGTGTTTATAGAGAGAGTGTTCTGACCTGTAATGGTTACCATTGTTCACCCATCTGTGACATCTGCCCCGTCTGGCATTCAGGGGACAGAAAGTCTGTGATCTGTCATTGCATGGGTCTTGCTTATCCCTAGACATCACTGTTCCTCCAGGTAGTTGTCTGTCATCCCCGTCCATGGTGGAGTCTGCATACTCCTCAGTTGTTGGCAACTATTTTCTTGTTTTGATTTTCTTTTTCAGTGACAATGAGCATCCCAAGGGCAGCAGTTACTTTTTATTTTTCTTAACAACTTCACTTTATCTGTCACATAAAGGAACCCAGTAAATATTTGTAGAATGAACAGAATATTTTTTGGCTAAGCAAGTCAGTAAGTTTTCCATAAAAGAAGTACATAACATATTTACCAGCATCCTCAAAGGTTGTTTTTCACATACCTAACAGGTTACCTTCTGTTTGTTTTCAACATGTCATCAGTTGAAAGACAACCCAGAATCATCTAAAGGAAAGAAGGAAATGATGGTATACAGATAACCTTTATGGAGGCCACGGCGCTAAAGGAAATGTGACCCTTGGATTCTCAGAACTTAAAAGCTCTTTAAGTAATATGAATAATTCTGAGTACTTTTGATGAAGATTTTGGTTAACTTCAGCGGAGAACATTTCTGTTAGGTGTTTTAAACTTCCTGCCTAGCTGGATCTTTGACTCACACTATGGATTTTGTAAAAGAGCCCAAACAGCACAGTAAAGGGTTGAAAACTGAGATCCACTGTTAGGCTGGCCTGGCCCTCCTTCAGCATGGAAGAAGGCCATGTGGCTTGAAATGTGTCCTCTTTCTTTGCAGATATGTCTTCTCCAACTGCTATGAAGAAGCCTGAAAAGCCATTGTTCAGCTCCACATCTCCGCAGGACTCTTCCCCACGACTGAGCACTTTCCCACAGCACCACCACCCCGGGATTCCTGGAGTCGCACACAGTGGTGAGCGCTTTACATGGGGAGGAGCCTTGTCCTCTGGGCAGGGCCAGGCCCGGAGGGAGGGAGCAGGAGCTGCTGACTGTGACGGTGCTGCCTTTCTTCCTAGCCCAAAGTGGGAGGGTCACAACCCAATAAAAATGGGTTTGTTCATCTGTTTATGAGAAAATATTTTCAGAGTTGTGTGATTTTGTAATATCTGTACATATATTTTTAAATTCTCTTCATTGGATAGATTATAATACAAATCTTGTTGAATAATCTTATTGAAAACGTTATACTCAGGAAAAAGAAAAGAATATATAGTTCTTATAACTAATTTCCAGATTGGTCATAATTCTGTATTCTAAGAGAAAGGTGAAGTTTCAAGTGTATTGCTTAGTTTAAAATTTTTCCAAAGGCATTAACATATATTTCTGTTGATAGTATTTTCTGCATATAAATCATTACTTACTTGGAACTGAAATTAAACAGAAATAAAAGAGATACTTTTCTGGGGCAACTATTTTTATGCACAAATCTTTTGAGGGATTACACTTGATTTGTATCTAATGTATTAATTTAAATGGGAAATTGTATCCAGTGTTTTATACTTTAGTCAACAATTAACAGTAAGTCTTTAAAAAAGATGCCATTTTTTACTTAATTGTATTTCCTCAAATTATACTTTTTTTTTTGTTTGTTTGTTTGTTTGTTTGTTTTTGCAGAACCAGGGATCAAATTATACTTTGAATTGGATATAATTAAAGTAGTTCTTCATGATAAGAAATTTTATTTTTGGAAATGTGCACTTATTCTCTGAAATGTACTTGATAGAGATGACCAAATTTGAGGATATGGAAAAAGTACATGAGATACTGATTAATCTTTTTTTTTCTTTTTTTTGATACTGGAGCTCGAACTCAGGACCTTGTGCTTGCTAGGCATGCACTTATGCCACTGAGCTATCTTCCCAGCCCAAGATACTGATCTAAACTGCGCGGTCCGGTGCCTCGCTCCCACTGGTCGTTGCCCAGTGTTACTGTGGGGAGGCCCAGGCATCTGGATTATAAACACAATCCAGGGAATCCTGAGCAGCAGCGTGTTGGGCCATTAGGAAACACAGTCGAGGCTGCAAAGTTGTATTTATTCAATTACGCACATATGTAATTTTGTATGTATCCTAAAAATTTTCTTTAGGCAAACTAAATCAATATTCCTTTAATAGCTTCTAGGTTTCTTTTCTACAAAATTGTAGAAGTTGGAGGTAGTGATCCCAGATGATTTTTATTCGTAAGTCATGGTGAAAAAATTCTTTTTATATTATTTGATAAATTTTCCATAAAACATTGTAGTTTCTTTTGATTTGATTGAAATATTAAAAGGAAGCTGACATCTAATTTTACTGTTACATTCTCCTGAATTGTACTTAGCCGTTTCCCTCAGCCTTCTAGGGGAATAGGCATGTAAGTGCGCTGTTTCCCATCTTTCACACTAAACCATTCTGTTTATAAAACTAAATTAGTAATTGTGATCATACTGTTGGAAAACATTAGAATTAAACATTATCCACATTGTGTATATTTTATATAGTTATTCCTTCTAGAAATTAAAAGTATGATTTGAGGATAACAATATGCATACTTACAAGAAAGTAATTTAAATTTCTGTGGCTTTAGTCATAGTTTTATCTTAGTATCTTTGAAGCTACATATAGTCAGAGAGTAGAAAGAAAATTAACTGTAAGATAAATAGTTTTGACAGGATTATCTTCATTATGATAAAATGTTCCCAAGTCCGGTGTTTCAGTGGTCAGTCATAAATACTTTTATAATGATCAGGTAATTATTCATAGTATGAGGCCTTTGTATATTACTTACCAGTTTGTGAACAGTGTCTACTTGGGATACATAGGGAGATGATTTATTTGAAACTGGATTGCGCTTCTATTTTGAATTTTAGAATTTAGTAGGTCTGTGGGTCTCCTGCTCCCCCATTCATGTAGTGACTTGGTCTGGACTTAAGAAGACTGAGACCTTGGAATTAGAGAATTTGTTTTGATGGGAGATAACTATGAAAGATAGACTGACTTTTTCAGTTAATCATGAGTCTAGAAACAAGAGGATTCCCTCCCAAGAGTGGGCTTCTCTCTCCGTTTTTAGCAAGATGGCACTGAGAATGGTAGAGGATAATTTATTTGGAGAGCTTTGTTAAATTGTGGGACAAGCCAGCTGGCTACCTATTTGATAGTGAAACTGCTCTGTGGGCTTGGAGCAAAGCAGTGAGCATATCAGTGGCTGAGTGGGCCTTTGTTTTCTATGTTTTGCAGTCATCTCAACTCGAACTCCACCCCCACCCTCACCGCTGCCATTCCCCACACAAGCTATCCTTCCTCCAGCCCCGTCGAGCTACTTTTCTCATCCAACAATCAGATATCCTCCGCACCTGAACCCTCAGGATACTCTGAAGAACTATGTACCTTCTTATGACCCATCCAGTCCGCAGACCAGCCAGGTAAAAAAAGAGAAAACAAGATCTGGGTACAAGGGAGATGGGACAGGTGTAGCCCTGGGACATGGCGCGGGTCCGGCAGTGCGTCTGGCGTGACATGGAGCCTCGCAGTCCATTCCCAGGAGGCTTCTTGGTGATTCAGGACGTTTTTATGTAAAGGTGGCTGAATGACAGGTAGGAAGTGTGTTGTCATAAAAGGGTACATTTATGAAGATGTTTTTGGTTTAATGCTTTTGGATTTTTATTGACTGAAGGGAAAGTCTATGCAGAATATTCATTGCCAAAAAAACTGAGCTGGAGTTCACACCCCTGCAATACCTGGTCTGACATAGGATCAGAATGCTTATTTCAGTCAGGAGCAAGGTATGTGCTAAAATAAACATGCACAAAAGAACTAATGCTTGTATTTATAGACCAGTTATTAGGTATTAAAATAAGCTTTGGTAATGTAAACATCTTTAGTGTTTGATAGCTACTTGAATATTCTTTGTAGAGACATGACTTATATTTAATAATGAGTGACATTACTAAGTGTCTTTTTTTTTAAAAAAAAGAAAAAAACATGCAGTGGTTTTGTGGACACATTGTATAAGCATAGCGATTCGTGTGTATTTAGCATTCCTTAGACATGTGGTTCATTCCTTGGAGAGGTCACTTCGTAGGAGTGTGATGTGCAAGGTGCTCCACAATCAGGTAGTAGCCTCATGCAGGGGCAGGGTCTGCCAGGACCTGCAGTACCCCCGGATGCCTGGAGATCCGGGCTTCGGCCTGCTGCTCCCTGCAAAACTCCTGTCCACTTCTTCCGCGGGGGCAGGTCTGCAGTATTCATCATTACCTCTGCTGAGTTACTAAAATTAGACCAAATACTATATAGATATCATACTTAATTAACAGAGAAAGAAACTTTTTAGTCTTAATCTGTTAAATGAAGCAAAATGATCCACGCTAAATGTTAATTTAGAATAAGAGAAAATGCTTCTCTTTGAATATTTTTTTGGAATAACGGCTGTGTCCAGCTCCTTTGAGTTGTGCTGTAGCTTTGCCTTTAGCTCCCCCGACTAATGCACTAAAGTAAATAGAGAATTTCAAAGGTAAACATGCTATTTGTATTTCAGAAGAAGTTATACAGATAGAGTAATGACTGTATCATTAATGACAACTAAGAGAGAGACCAGGCGCTTAGTCGACCAGCGTAGAAATGAAGTTTGTTGTCAGCCCACGGACTCAGGAGTCTCGGCTCCGTGGAGCATTTTGCTAGACTCAGCTGGAAGCAGTGCACACAAGGTCTGATTTTAATTTGTGTAGAATTTCCATGAATAACAAAGTCTAATTAAGACATCCATTAAAAGTCCTTAACGTTAATTCAGTGTGGAAAATCTTAGAGTTCCATTGGATTTTTTTTTTTTTAAGCTGATGTCTTAATTAGACACTGTTAGGGGAAAAATTATGTAAATTAAAATCAGGCCCTTAGTGTTATGCATTTCTTTAATTATTCAGTGCTTGTCTTACGTATATTTCAATTTCTTTATAAGAGGGCAATATTAGGTGATAATCTGCCTATATGGTTTTCCTCACATTTATATATTGTTCTCAGGATTTCCCTGCATCTTCAAGGTAAAGAAAGATCCAGCTTTTAAGAGCAGCAGCATCTTCCTCTCATCTCAATTAAAAGATGGGCACAAAAAATCCTCTCAGGATTTTGTATAATAAGAGTAGTGTACTAAGTAGGATAATCCTTTCATAATGCTGTTTAGATTCTTCTCCAGATAAGACTCTTCTTTCCCTGTCTACAGTATGAAAGTCCATCTATTAGCAGTCTTCAAAGATAGAGGCTTTATAGCTTAGCTTCACCTGTTTAACTAGTGGAAAACAGAAGAGGTGTAACCATCCCGGTTTCTGACACTGATCCAGAAAAATTTTCTGCATTGGTTTGGAAATTGTCTCTTTGTCCCTTTTATTACTTTTAAATGGGAGACTCGTCTGTTGGTTCATGTTGGTTCAATTTTAGTACACAGTTTGCACACTAGTGGAGTAATACCATATTTTATGATGACATTTCCTTCAGTTTATTGCCATTCTGTTCCTGTTCCAGATTGGTGCTATCAAACTGTTTTGGTGACCACTATCTATAAACACTTTCAATATTGAGTGTACCTTCAATGATAAAATGAGTCTTCTTTGTACTCCAATAAAATATACGAAACAGTCATGTGCAAAGTTCAAATAACCCAAATTTGGTGGTTTGTTTTAGAAACACAGTTATTTCCCCCTTGAAATGAAAATAGGTCTTTATGGTAAACTGTAGAAGTATTGTTTTAGGAACATTATATCAGCTTTCATGCTTTCCTCCAACTTGAAACCAGTTAATCTGCATTTCAAAATAGAACTCTTGATACTCACCTTTTCTGTGCTAGAAATGGAAAAAATGAGTACCGTTCACCTCCAGGCAGCTGCTGCTTCGCAGCCTCCTCCAGTGCAGCCCTCATTTTGATTGTTAAGCAACTGAGATGCCTTCTCCCCCCAACCCCACAGCAGTTTGGGGATTAATTGCATTACTGCTGCACCAATTATAGTGAGACAGCCTTGCTATTCAATGGGAGTATTTTGAATAAAATTAGTTTAAAGATGTAACTCTCCCATAGGTTTCCATAGAGAAAAGCTCGTCAATTTTCCTGACATAAAAGTAAATGCCTAAAATTACCCATGTTGAATAGTCAAGATATCCAAGAAGTGCATTTTCTTTAGAAAATGGGCTCTCAGGAACCCAACCAAAGACCACGTTCATGCCTCTTAAGACAGTGTTTAAATGTCGCTCTCTCCCCCCCCCCCCAAGAAATGTCTACTTCTGATTTATGTACAGGCATTTAGATATTCTCCTTCATTGCTCTGTCTTTAATAGTTGAGGTTATAAAGGCTGTACATTTGTGGTGTGCTTCCTAGCAAATTTTTATGTCCACTAGAGAATCACAACATGAATATAATAAAAAAAAAATACCATTCTCCAGCTGGGGATTTAGCTCAGTGGCACAGCGCCTGCCTGGCAAGCATGAGGTTTTGAGTTCAATTCCCAGTCTCCCTCCCTCCCCCTCTCCCTCCCTCCCTCCCTCCCTCCCTCTCTTTCCCTCCCCCACCCCCTCATTAGCATTCTCTGTCTAGATTTCCACAGTGCACCCTTAGGATTTTATCCCCTCAGTGAAGACACTGTTATTCCACCACGTGGCTAAAATTCAGATAAAAACATCTTTTCTGCTAAAGCGCAGGAAATTTTCTCGGTTAATTCCCACAGATATCAGCAATAGAATGTTTTAACTCTCCATGCACAACAATGAAAGAATTTCTCAAAAAAATGTACATTTGGTTGTCCCCTGGTTCTCCTCAGTGTATTTTGTCATTGTGTGCATCTGAAAGCTTAGGTGCTTTAAATCTCATTTATCTGCTTATGTTAGGGAATCATTAAAGACTGAGGGGAGGCGCTAGTGTCCGAATGGCCTTGTGTGTGTGCCTGAGGTGTATGTACGAGAAAGCTGTAGTCCTTGTGTGCAGAAGAATTGGCCTTGACTGGTGATGGTAGAAACTAGAGTTGGATATGTTTCCTCTCCTAGACATTTTTGTGTCTCTTGTGTCAGTAATGCCATCCTTTAGGAGGAAAGTTTTTTAAAGCCACACTGACTCCGCCTAGATAATGAAGCGCAGAGACTGAGGACCTGCCAGGTGGCAGCTGTAGATTGCCCTGTAAGGAAGTCTGTCTTATCTTGAACTAAGCGTGTACATCTTCACTTGAGTTTTCTGGCTTACTGAATGAAGGGATCAAGTTTCCTTGGCGCCTGGGGTTGTTGTAAACACTAAATAATCTATGCAAAGTGCTTTTGAAGAGGAAAAACTTCTTCTAAATACTGTTGCTTTTTATTACTACTAACCATTGGCTGGCCTTCAACTCAGCCTGGACAAGGTCTGTGTGGTGGTGACACAAAGTATGCAGGACCTACGTGGCCACGTGTGCCAAGGGGAGTTGTGGAACAAGATGCGTGTCTTTTGGATTGTTTCACCTGGCATTCTGTTTTTGTTTTGTAGCCTAACAGCAGTGGTCAAGTGGTAGGGAAAGTGCCTGGCCATTTCACTCCGGTCTTGGCCCCCTCTCCCCATCCCAGTGCAGTGCGACCTGTGACCCTGGCCATGACAGATACTAAACCCATCACTACATCCACTGAAGGTGAGGCAGCTTCACCTACAGCAACCAGTAAGTATTTGGGTAGGAAATGAGAAATGTCCATCAAAGGCATCATTGGATATCTGATCCAAGGTGGAAGGAAACCATGGCCACTTTCCAGCTACCTACCGGATGGAGATTTCTCATTTACGTGGAGCTGGCAGGCATGTATATGACCTTGCTGTCATGTGCTCTCTCTTATCAAATTTATGTCAGTGCATCTTCTTTGAAAAGGGAGAAGCATGTTTGTTTCAGTAAATAGCTATAACGAAAATAGTAACTCATGCCTGCTTGTTCAAGGTATACATTGAAATTGCACTGAATAGCAATGTAGTATACAAGGTTTTCATATCATCAAAAGAGAGATTACATAATTGTTACTTATTGGACCGTTCCCATGGAAATCAAGCCCCCCCCCACCCGAATCAGTGCCTCTGTGAGGTAATCGCACTTTTACCTTGCCGTAGGTTGTGCCCTTGCTAGAAGCAGTTGCCTGATGCTAGATGGAAGCAAGAACACTACAAAGCTTAGAGTTAGGCACACGCAAGCTGCTTGCACTTTCATCGTCTGCAGCTTTTTTTCTTTAAACCTTTTGATTCTGTTGCCCATCATGGTACATCAGACCTATGCTTATTGGCATGGCCATAACATAAATGTCAGAGGTTTAGTTAGTGAACTTGCCTGGCACATACCAGTAAGCTGGATGATTCCTTTGCTGTTTCATATGGAATACTCAGAAATAGGCAAGGAATAAATTTTTGGTTAGCTTTACCCAGACTACAAGCTTCCTAGAACTGGAGCTGGCATACAGAATGGCAAAGTAAAATAGGTAAATTCTCCTTTGGAGGACTTACCACGCACACCCGCAATTATACACGTGTTCTTAAATTTAGCCTTTTTTTTCTTTCCTAGAGCAAGGAAATCACTATGCTCTGGAAATGCCATATAAAAGTACAAGATCAGGACTCCACTGGCTTCCTCTTTCTCGGCCATTGGAGAGATTTTTGGATGATTTAAGAAAGACTAGGAAGAAGCTCTACAAGAAAAACAGACAATGCTTTGATTGATTCACTGATAATACAGTGAATATTTAGCATTTCTCAAAATTCTCAATCCCCATAAACTACATCCAGAGAGGCCTGTAATATCCATCAGTAATCATTAACGCTGTGCTTAGTGGTTGGTTTGTCAGCAGACACTTGCAACAGGAGCAGGCGTTTCCTTGAATGCATAGATGTACAAGGCCTGGAGAAAAGCAAAAGTTCTCACAGTTCACTGCATGCATCATAGTCACTGAAACAGTAGCATACAGATAGGCAAAGTGAATACTATGGCATCTTTGAGCAAACAAATTCATCAGCTTACATAGAAGCATAGAAAATAAAATTTTAGAAAGTAATGGAAGACTATTCCAAGAAATGATCAAAACCAAGTTCTAAAAACTTGTTCTGCCTACTAGTGTGGTGACCTTAATATTGTACAATTCAGTGCAGGATCGGGCTTACTTACATGAGTGCCTTCAGCCTGTTTGTTAATGAACTGTTTTTATACTTACATACAAGTTGTTCAGAAGGGATCTGATTTGACTAGTAAAGTTACGAAATACTCAGAAGGAGTATCTTAGTTGCATAAGGATGACTGCAGCAGTCCATTTTCTACTCCTGTGTAAACAGACTGAGTGGTTTGTCCTTTGCTATAAACAGACTACAATGCCAGCTCCTTAAGCACCACTGATAATGAGAACCTGGTCATTGAACTGATAGTAAAGTTAAAACAGAGAGGCCCAGGAATCTTCCTTTCATAGCTGAATAGAAAGAAGGGCACAGACTTGGAGCTCTCTGCGGGCTTTGCAGCACCCAGTGCACAAGGTTGGCTCTAAAGCTCTGGAGGGGCCTGGAACGGGGGCTACAGCTGCAGGTGCTGCTCCTGCATGGCCCTTTATTTGGACATAATACAGAGATGGAGTGTGGGCTTCTTTAACAAGTATATTCTTATCAGCTGACCTAAAAAGTCCCTAATGATCAAATTCTGCTGTCCTTTAAATGAACATGGCTTAACTAATGTGCTGATTTTTAAACACCAAACTTTTTAAAATCCAGGCCTGAATTTCTCATTAATCTGATAGTTTTAAGCCAGATGAGTACCTTCAAGCTTATAAATTCAGTATATGGTAAAAACTTAGTTCTTTTGCTTGGAATTGCTTGGTGCTAGGAAAATACATTAGTCCTTTCCTTGTAAAGAAGCAAAAGTCTTCAGGAATAAAAGTAATGATTCTGTGGAAAATTCACTTTATACCAAAGCCACCTGTGCAGAAAGTGCATGCAGATGAGTACTGCAGTGTCATAAAGGACAACAGCGTCAGCGGCCTTTGTGCCCTGTGAGCTTACTGCCTCCTGACCAAGTACGTAGAGGTGTCACTGACGCTTCCGGTCAATCCCAAGAAACTCATTTTTTATACTTATAGACACAGAGAATTTTTACAAAATCACTTCTATCAAATGTGAGGGCATTTTTGCATTATAAAATACTGAGCTTATTCAGTAAAATAGGCTTGTCCTTCGGAATAGTAAAACTAGATTTTCTCTTCAGGAAGACTTTCATCTCATTCATCAAGCTTGTCTGCTTAAATCATGTCAGAGCTGTCATTTTTCCCCGACAGTCTTTCAGCTGGCTTTTACATTTAGAAAAACAGACCCCATTCATCATTGCATTGTTAGACCCCTAGTATCTAGGAGAAGAGCTACACGAGGAGGAGGCTGCGCTGCGCAGCAGTCTGTTGGCCTGCAGGTCTGGCGGGAGCGCAGAAGGGAGAGCCCTACCCCCGAGGACGCGTGTGAGGTGCTAGATAGACATCTGCAGGGGACCAGTCAGGGATGCGAACTCAGCGCCATTTCTTTTCTGTTACTTGGTGATAAATGGAACAAGAGAGAAGAGAAATGGAGACACTTTTTTCGGTTGAAAATCCCACTTCTCTGGGTTTCTTATTCAAGGACAGGGTGTTCATTCTGATAGTTCACAATTTTTATCTTTGTTTTTGTTCTTCCTTAATCAGCCTACACAGCCTCAGGCACACCTCAAGCCAGTCGATATGTGGGACTAAGCCCAAGAGACCCATCCTTCCTCCATCAGCAACAGGTGGGCACACTTCCCAGGTGTCACGGTGCAGCCACGCTTCGCTTCGGCGCTTTCTCCATGCTGCCGCTCAGATCTGGATTCGAAAGGGGGCTCGAGGGGCTTCTGAGGCCGAAATTGACTGTCTGGTTCTCCACATTTTTTCTCATTTATCCTTCGTTGCTCGTCTCTGCGCAGCTTCTCAAGCTGGCTCCCAGTCTCTTGCATCTCGGCAGCGTTATGTTGATAGCATACACGGACGCTGTCGCGGTCCCCCTAGTCGGTGGCTATTGAGAACTTACCAGTGGATAGCTCTGAAGGCGAATATTGAGAACCAGTTTAAAAGCCAGTTAGAGTAGACGCAGGACGTTTGTGTTTTTGAGCAAGTTCATATTTTCCAGATGTTGTACTCTTCACTTTGTAGTTGAGGCCAGAAAGATGAGTTATGAAGCTAAAATCTCAGCTAAAATCTCAGGCGATGCATCATTCCTATTTTAATAGGTTTAAATTGGTTTAGTGATTTCAAATGTGATAAAACACTTTTTTTCAGTTCTGCTTTCTTACATCATTTATGTTTCAAGTAGCATTTTAAATTTCACATCTCATTAATGCTGTAAATTTAATGCAAATGAAGTGTTTACCCAAACTGTGAAAATATACAGCCAGGATTAATGGTAGTTTATAAATAAATTAGCCACAGTCAAAAGCATGGACCATACCAATATAGAAATCCCTTGATTCTAGTTATAGAATAACAAAAAAAGAATTCTGAATACTTTAGAATTTAAACATATTTTATGATGTGTGTGCTTATTGCTCTCAAGACTTGACAGCAGAGCAGTTTGCAATTAATAGCATATAAAATATTACATAGGGGAGAGTTGTCTGTAACAAGAAAGAGATGGTATTAACTAACTTGATCTTCACTCACAAGTTATCACAGAAGTTAACACACATGTTGTGCGTGTTGCACGCCTGGCGGGTACTTAGGCCCACTGTCGTGGTCTGGGCCAGGCCAGCCCCTTTGTGCCTCCCTGTGCTCACGTGGAGTCCGTGGGGCCTTCCCCTTTGCAGGCCAAGGTGGTAGGCTGTATACATTAAAGGTCACCACATGCAGAGTTCAGAGAATATCATAAAGATGATAGCTTATTCAGGATACTTGACGTTTTGCCAGGTTTAAAAAAAGCAAAGCAAAACAAAAGAGTGAGAACTAACTGAAAACATCTGTATACAGTTATGAAAATACCAAATAATAATTAGTGGTTTTGCCAACCATTGCCTTTCAACATAATTCTCTGGAATGTTGCTTTTTTTCACCTCTAAAATTGCTGTAATATGAAATGTGTTATAATTACTATAATATGGTGGTATTTGACAAATGTGTGTTCATTGTGTTTTTTTAAACATGTGCAGGATTTATAGGTTTAGAAACTTGTTCTTTTACAAAATCATTGCACATATTTTCAGAAATATTTTTGTCATGGGATTTGCATTATTTTTATCATATATCCTTAATTTCTAGTTAATTTTTAATTCACCAAAATTGGCCTCCATTATTTAAGCCTTTAGCCCCAAACATATTTAGAATATCATAACTAACCATATATGTTTAGAAGCAGTGTTTTCTTTACCTGGCCTAATCTATAACATCTTTAATTTTGTAAATCACTTATGATAATGTTGGGGCCTTAAATAATAATGATCACAAAAATTCATTAATATAACACTTCTGTCTTTACATGTATACATATAAATGAAAAGCACACTGAAATAAGTCAATGTAGTGAGTGATCTTGACCTGTTTTAAGTGAAAAAAATACATATGGCTTCTCGATCTATACATTTTTCTCCATCAAAGACGGCTGCTTGTTACTTAGGAGGACAGTGCCGAGTGAAGGCCCACTTACGTTATGAATACATTTTGTTCAGTCAGATGTAGTTACTATTTATGGAATACATGATGTATACTGATCCTTGGAAGAGAAAAACCATAGATGCTCCATAGTTGAAAATCTTTAAATACCATAAAAATAGGCCACTTGTCTTCTGCTTGATGAATATATGCCATTGTACTTGAAGAAGCCTAGTAGGCCAAATTCATAATGAACTCCCAAGTTTTAAGCATGTAGAAGATAAACATCAATGCATATATTATGTTTATAAATATGACTAAATTAAGGCTTCAATTAAAAACTTATTTTTATCTTTTCAAATTTTGAAAGAAAAGTTTTTTTGCTTACTATCTAGGAATAGAGAGACAGAAATAGTTTAAATGACTTTAGTAAAGGTTATTCTTTCCTACAGCAGAAATGAGATTGATTTACTGTGTCCTTTCATTACTTTACAAAGATTTAAAAGAGACCACTCTTCTAGCGGCAGGTTCTAAATGCATTTGGTTTAAAGCACTCAGTGATGAATGAAAGGGAAAATCAAGGGGTACATGAAATAAAGGCAATCAATCATTTTTATATTAGCTAGGAGAAATTTAAAATTAGAAAGGCAATGGTTTTAGCCTGAGAGAGTTCTTTTAAGCATTCCCCATAACCTTTAATATACATGACCCCTTAAGAATAAATATTGTCACCAGGTACATTTTTCAGTTCATGGTGGTTGCTTTATAAAGATTTATCCTTTTAGGTTATGAAAAGTATTGATGTGCATTGTTGAGTGCAGTTTTTTCCTTTAGAAAATAACTTTAATATAACTTACATAAATTAGAGTTAGCAATAAATTTAAAATTATTGAATAATTTTTACTACCTTATAAGTGATCTTTCCACAAAATGACACAGGAATAGAGCTTTCAATATACTCATTTCTAACACACAAGTGTACTGGTATTCTTTAATTGAGAGAGAGAATATTGCTACATCAAAATGAACCCTGTACCATACCTATAAGAGTGATACCTTCAGATTGACAAATATAATAGTAAAAGCACATGCTTTTATACTCATGAGTGTGTACGTACAGTTGTTATTAATAATTATAAATTTATGTGATCATTTTATAATAGTTATTGCCAATTATTTTTGGCTGTTAATGACCTTGAAATAGTTTTTCTGCTGCCGGAATTTTACCTATCATTGCAGATATGATATCAATTCAGTCTTTCATTAAATAATTATGTAAAATATTTGAAAAAGATCATGCCAGTGAGTTAATAATCTGCCAAAATTATTAAAATAGCCCCTCCCACTAGTAATCAACTCATGCCAACTGATTAGAACTTCATAATTATTGTCACTTAACATGATCTTGAATATGCATAACTATTATCACAACATGGTCTTGAACATAGTTGAAGCTCTAGAGCTGGCCACTCTTTGAGTAAATTACTAGCGCAATTAATGGCATGGGGGGAAATTTTTTTAAATCAGAACTCCAATTAGTGACATTCTTCTTTGTCTTCTCTGTTTGGAATGGTGCGGTGGCTTAAAAATGACACGGGTGCTGCTTTGGCAAATTGAGCTCTGCAGGTCTCTATGGAGAAAGGCCTTTAAATGGCTTGGATTTCAAAAATGTGGAAGTTGTCTTCTCCCACTTTCATTTGTAGAAGTCTAGCAGTGTTTCTTCCCCTATTTCATCCTCCATGGACACACTGTGCACATTCTTCAGCATCAGCAGCAAAGAAACCACATTTCCCGAGTTTTATCTTCTTGAGAAAATGGAAAGTATTAGCAGAATGTTGGATATTGCTCAGAAATTCCTGAAGTTGCTTTATAATCCAGCCTAATGATTTTAGAATAAATGGATAAAGTCAAACAACATACATAAATTGGCACTCATTTTTTTTATCTGGCCAACTGCATAAGAAATTTGCTAATTTAAGGCCTTTTTATTTTTTCCACTATTATAGTTTAATAGTATGTGAAATTCTAGTTGAATTGAGCATTATCATTATAGTTGAGAGTAAAGTCATATTAAAGTCATAATCCTTGCTATTAACCACATTAATACAACATATTTTAGGAACTTGTTGCAAGTAGGAAACAAAAGCTTGCATTTAAGAAACTTCTGTTTAGAAGTAAAGATCACCATCCAGCCAATGAAATGCACATTGATTTGTGATGTGATTTGAGATTTTGGGTAGACTGAGAAGCAGGTCACTCGTGCCTCCTCTAAAGTATGTTCTAGTTTGTAAGAAATACAGCTGTCTTCACGGCCTCCCAGCGACAGCCCCTGACTGCGTCTGCTCCCTTGTCCTGGAGCACCTGAAGAAAGGCGCAGCCCGCGGGCCCATGCCTCACGCCTCCCAGCCGCATGGCATCTGTCGGTGCCTGCGCTTCAGCATGCTGCGTCTCGAGGCTGTGTGGCTGTGCAGTGCTGTTATTTCAAGTGCAGTTGCTAGGCTAGTTCAGTTCATAACTTAAATATTGTCAACACCATTTTTGGTGTAATCCAAAGCTAGAATTTGAAAGTGCTTTTCTTTACACTCAAAATTTTTGTTATGCTACAAAGTAGCCTTTTTAAGATAACTAGTATTTTTAAAAAACTAAAGTATGAGTTAGAATCCTCTTAGAGTATCTGTCCTGGCAAATGGCAAAGTGAGAGCTTGGTCCATTAAAACCACTGGAAAGGTAGTCATTTATTAGAGGCAGGCAGTTAAAGGAACACAAGTGGACTATCAACAAAACTTTTCAGTAAAGTGAGGAAGCAGGCTATCAACACTTGAGCCGTTCTTATTGTATCTGTTATCATGATTGACAGCTTGACGTAAAAGCCCTCTCACATGACTTCTAGGTAGGTATGTAAATGGATAAGAGGTCACTTTTCACATAGGCTAACTAGGAAGGAAACACACTTGAAGGAAGTTTCAGTCAAAATAATAGCTATGTAAATGTTTAGCTTTTTGGCTGGTTCATAAACTTTAAAAAAAAACCTCCATTGTCTTCTTTTATCATTCATTGGTTCATTTATCTTTTGTAGTTATCAAAGGCTAATATCCAGATAAGCTGTTGCAGTTGATGTAAAAATATAATTAAATTTAGCGTAGCCTTAAATTGTAATCAACAAAATCACCAG